ATGGTTGGTCTTGGGACAGTTTGATCACTTCCCTGTCCAATTCCAGGGCAATGGCACCAATAAAAGTACACAGTAATGAAAACAGTTTTTCTACTAACTGTGCTGTACTTGCTGCTTACTTAAGAAAAAAAAAAAAAAGAATTAATAATCTTTAACAATTCAATCTTAAAATACGGGACAAATCCGTATTATGAAGGGAAAAGTCTCACCCCTAACTCTTAGAAAAGAGTATTATTTTATATACACTCACCTTTCACTATTTCAGTAGCCTTTGTTCTTACTTTTGGGTACTGGTGAGCATTATCTGAATCAGGGAACATATTCTTCACGGATTTGTTGAAAACATCCGCAAATGTGAATAGGATCTTGCTTGTAGCTAACAGCATAGCCATCTTTGCCTCGGCATAAATAACACCATAAGGTCTACCTTTGGAAAGATGGCCCAGATACCTATGTGTGTAATTAAATCCGTTCGCCCACCGTGTTCAATGGAGAAGTCTGATCTACAAAATTTGCAGGCAGCATGTCCCTTCCCCTTCGAGCTGTCCTGGATGAACATGAATTCTTTTTTCCATTCAGTTAGGAATTTGCAGGCATATTTTTATTCGCCATGGTCTCTTCTTTCTTCCTTTTCCCCTTTTTCTTCTGCTTCTTTTTTTGTTGTTCTGATTGCCGCGCTTGACTTCGAGGTGTAACTTTTATTATTGTTCCATCTGAAACGGCGCCCAGTGACGGATGATGTAGCAATATTGTTGTCCAGGTGGAAATTCAGGAGAAAGGTCAGTCTGGGAGATTTTCGGGAGGGGCGGCATGTGTGGTAATGTTGTAGAACGTGTTGAATGTATTGGTATCACTTCTTTTTCTGTTTTGCCATTTGTGTGTTTATTTATTTTATTTACGCTGTTGTCTGGAGGCCTTTCCCCCTCTGCTGATGTCCAAGGGGATTGGTCCATTTATTATGATTGTTTTTGTTTGACTTTGTATTTTTGTTTTCTTGAGTTGTCCACACCGATGGGAGACCGTGGAAGTTACTGATCCTCGGTGTGGCATTTTTCCATTCATTTATTAGTTGGTATGGTTTATTATTATGTTGTATGTTTGTTTACTATGTGAGGGTTAGTATTTATATATATATACAGTATATATGTTGTTAGTCTGTGTAATTTCTCTGGATGGTCTAATTTGTAATCTGTGTATGCAACCGTGTAGTTTTCAATTGTCTTTCTTCTGTCTAGGTGCTGAGAGCTGCCAGTGGGGGCAGTGCCCATGCGGTGGTGGGTCCCTTGATGTATGCAGTGGTTGTGTGTGTTCACCAGTGTGGTTTAATTCTTTGAGGCAGGTGTGATTGGGGTGTTTCCCATGGATGCTCTTTGCTGCAGTTACTAGTCTTCCACTTGTGAGCTTCAGCACAATTCTGTGTGTGTGTGGGTGTATGTGTTAGGGCTGGGCAAAAAAAATCTATTTTCGATTAATCATTTTTTAAAATGTGGTCGATTTAAAATCGATTCTCAATGGCCACGAATCGATTTTTCCATATTCAGCGCGGGCGGTGCTCCGTCTTCTCTCTGCACTAGGCAAGCGCCAAGCGCTGCAGGCGTCAATACACACTCGCGTTTAGGAGTCAGGACATGACAGAATAATGCACAATCGGGCCAGCATTGCATCGTAACTAACGTTTATCATTTTCACGTCTTTTTAAGTTTTACCAGTTTAAACGTTCAAGCAATTTTAAACCATCCCATGCTTGCGCACTCTCAGAGATGGTTTTCACTGCGTGCACTAGTGATGCGTGGGTCGGCTTTTTTTCCAACCCTTTTTTATGACATTATTTGGCCCGCCCCAGCCCGCACCGCACCACTGTCTCTATTTTTACAACCCGCCCCGCGACCGTTAAATAGACATAGTAGCTACTAGATTTGTAATGTGAATGAAAACAGCCTTTATTTCAGCCTGAAAGTGCTTGGAAACATTGCCCTGTAAACTGGCAACAACAGACGATTATGAATATGAACCATAAATCAGGTCATATTAATAAACATTTTCAACATTTACAAAGCAGCAATTGTATTCTTGGCTAAACCATTTTTTTATTTCTTAGACCCCCCACAAATATGTCTTGACATGCTGGAAGTGCCCATTTTGTGGCGCTAACGTTACTGTTTGTATATTTTTCACACGAGTTGCACAGCACTTCAGGTAGCCGATACTACTGTTGTCTCCTGCTGCAACTACTTCTGAGAACCGCTCCCAAACCTTAGATTTAGCAGCCTGACCTTTTTTTCTTTTAATCATGTATATTCCCTACCTCAATTTCTCCCACACCTCACTTCCATCACTTTTATTTCTCTGTTGTTGTTGTTGTTGTCGAGGCTGGCTGCGAGAGCTGCTTGGCGCGCCGCTTTCGTGAAGCGTCACGTGCAGTGTTGTGCAAGTTACTTCCAAACTGTAATACATTAGGTATTACTTGTTACTGTTATTTAAAAGTAATTCATTACCTTACAATATTACTGTCTCAGAATTGTAATGCGTTACATTACTCATGTATTACTTTTGAGTTACTTTCACCAAAATAACTAAGTAGAACTTAACTTTTGGGCTGTAACGATATGCAATATGAAACCGAAATCGCGATTCGCCACACGACTCAGATCCACGAACCTACAGAATCGCGACAAACCTCTTCCAACTCCCAGCATTATTCTGCTTACCGTCCAGATCCAATGCTGCCTTATCTTTAAATTAGGCTATTAGTATTAATATGAAGTTAACATTATAAAATACATAGACCTACACCACAAAACTAGTTGAGGATAAATTATTTAAAATTGGGGAAGTCCAGCATTATGGACATGACATTTGCAGTCAAAACTTGAAATAAAAATTCTCAGAAAATACATGTATTGAAACGTAATTTATATAGGCTACTTCCTTAAAAGACATTAGACAAATATCAGTCTATGTTTTATTTTTAATATTAGGGAAAAGACACACATTCATGCGTGAAAAAAATAGGAGGCAAAATATATTTTTTGTAATTCTGTTAATTACACTGCGCAAATCAGATGAGGAAGGGTTGGCTCTCCAGTCTCCATAGAACTTAAAATATTCATTTTATTTTAGTTTTCGTGTTCACATTTATGAGGAAAAAACAAATTTACAGACGCGACCGCTCTGAACTGGCACTAAAAGACTGCTTTAAAACTTTCACACAGTCTGTCGCCTTTAAGAAGTAAAAGCAGACAATACACTGTAATACAACTGTAATACAAGCCTCACTGAACATGTAACGAGTAAAATATTACTGAAAATTGATTAGTAATGCCTTACACTACTGCGTTACAGCAAAAACTAATATGTTACAGTAATGTATTACTTTTGTAATGCGTTACTCCCAACACTGGTCACGTGACACCAAAGGTTTGGGAACCTAAGTTACGTTGCTATGGCAATCGTATTGTAAACTTATCAAATAACCTTATAAACTATGAAAATAGATATTCCCAAATATTTAATATAGGCTGGAAATTGCAAGCAACAAAAATGAAAAAAAAAAATTAATTAATTAATGAATGACCCGCCCCGCAAATAAAGTGACAATTTCTTTACCCGCCCCAACCCGGGGTCCGCAGGTTACTAGTCGACCCACACATCACAGCGTGCACACACAATAAAGCCTAAATTCGGTTCACAAACAGCTTGCCAGTAACACGTTTTTTTTTTTTTTCTGGATTATATCGCTGTCAAATCTCTGGTCTTTGTGAATAACCTTGTAAAGACAGTCGGTAATGTCTTAAACAACCATTAAACTCGTGTGACAGACAGACAGTACTATAATGAGACTGAGACAGTAATGGATCTGTTCCCGTGCACTAGTTCTTGAAAGGGTCATGAAATCCCCCTCTTTCAGCTTAAGTCTAGCTCACACTCTTTTTGAAAAAAGCAATTTAAATGGGCGTGGCTAGCTGTGAGAAGAAGGGAGTGAGTGGGTGTGGTATGGCCATCACTGTCAATGTCCCATGCATATCGACTGTCACTAAAAAGCAATGGTAAAACGTGAGGAAATGCTAGATTTGTTTTTATATAGCTGGCAAAGTTAAAGTCCTATGAATACTGACACTTCCTTTCAAAAGTAACTGAATGCCCTGCTACACATATTAGCCTACAGTAATCGTAATTCTATTTAAAACATATTAATGTAGGCTACATGTATAATTATAATGTCATTATAAAATATATAGTGGTTTATACAGACACTATAAATGAATTTCAGAAAAAAATTATTAATTTTCCGCTTAAAAAAAACGTTCCGTGCATAGTCTACATGCCCTCTGAACCCTCATAATAAAGAAGGCTCTGCGGAGGTGGATGACTTCTCATTTTAGACACACACACACAACATACCTAGAAAAGTCCTCGGGATACCACATCTCTCGCAAGACGCCACTTGGACTGGTTGTCAACAAGGCGAAGTCCACCATTCTCCACTTCACACAGCTCTCTCTCGAGAAAATGTTTGTGGCACACACTATAGTTTAGTGTATAGTGTACCTAAAATAAAAAGAGTTTTATATACAGGTTTGTGGCTCTTAATTTCTTTGTATTTATTAACCACTAGTAAACTTATGTCCACTGTTATTTTTTTTATAAACATAGGATTTGTATTACATCTGTATTCATTATAGTCGAATCGAGAATCAAATCAGGAATCGAAAATCGAATCGAGAATCGAAATCAAATCGAATTGAGAGCTTGCGAATCGAAATCGAATCGAAATTGAACATCTGATACCCAGCCCTAGTGTGTGTGTAGGAGTGAAGGTGGTGTGTTTTATTGATTGATTTAGTGTGTAGTGCTTTTTGGTGTCTGTGAAACATTCAATTGTGTGTTGGGAAATCCAAATGTTTTTTTTTATTTATTTTTTTTTTTATTGTGGAGTGAATTATTGTGTACTCATTGATACAAAAATAATCTTTTATTTTTTACTGGACAACTGTTGTGTTGTCCTTTAAGGAATTTAGAGTCATGTGATGATGCCATTTCCTATTAAGTCACTTCCTGTTTGTCCTTCCTGGTACTGCATGGAAACAAGGAGACAGACATGGTGTGCTCTTGGTGTTGAATCCACTTGCATCCACCTTAAAGCATCATAGAGGCAATGCTGTAAGTTTGTTTATGTGATTTTAGATATTAAAGGTCATGTATTAGTAGATATTTTGTTAAAATGATGATGTTTGAGATTGTTAAAATTATGCTGTGTACAAGTTCTCAGAGATGTTGATGGCATGTGTAGCTGCTGCTGTTACAATGAGAATTGCATTGTATATTCATTTTATTCACAATGGGATGTTACTTAAGAAATGGACACTGAATATTGCTGTATTGTTTTTTATTACAGTTTTCACCTACATGTAAATGAGGAAGTGTGACAGTAAATGATCAACCTTACTACGACTCTGTCTTCATTTGCAACGGTTTAACTTGGTGTTTAGTCAGAGTTTCAAAACCCTGCACGAGAACATTACAGTGAAAAAGCACCGTTTGATGTTCAAAGTGGTTAAGATGGCATCAAGCAGCAAGTCGTCTGTGTGCAGCGCTAGAAGCAGCAAGTCATCCGCAGCAACTGTGAGTGCAGCCCAAGCCCGGGCCAGAGCTGAAGCTGCTAAGGTGAGAGCGTCATATGCTAGTCAAGAGGCTAAACTGAAGATGGAAAAGGCTGCAAGAGAAGCTCAAAATCAGCTGGAAACAGTAAGAATAGACACAGAGTTGGATGTGTTAACATTACATCGAGAAGCTGATGTGGCTGCAGCGGAAGCACAAGTGCTGGAAGATGCAGAACTGCTAACACATGCTGCAGTTGAAAGAGGAGGTTCTGAAACAGAGAAAGTTAAAATTGAGCGTATCAGTGAATATGTCAATTCTCAAATCAACTTTCAAAGTAATTTTCCCTCTCCTCTCTTACATGTCGCTCCTCCATCCCATGCTGACTTGCATAGTAGTTTCATAACATGGAGCCCGCCTGCGGAATATGTTTCACCTACACAGTCTATTAAAAGCAAGCCAAAGTCTGAGAAAGCTGATAGCAACTTACCAGCAGTAAACTTACCGGATTTGTCTACTGGTGTGAAGAAGTCAGAAGTCAGAAACACAGCCTCCATCATGAACGCACATGCTAAGTCATATGTTCCTCGATATATTGCTCCAGCTGGCACGCCACCTCATGCAGAGCCTTTGGCACAGTATTTAGCAAGACGGGACCTTGTTAATTCAGGATTGTACCAATTTGATGATAAGCCAGAGAATTACCTGTCATGGTATTCCTCATTCAGCAGTGCAGCTCGTGAAGTTCACCTCACAGCAACTCAAGAATTGGACCTCATGACTAAATGGTTAGGAAAGGAATCTGGCCAACTGGTGAAACGCATCCGCTCTGTGCATGTCAGTAATCCCAATCTTGCTTTATATAAAGCGTGGGATAGACTAGGTGAGTGCTATGCTGCGCCAGAAGTCATTGAAAAGTCATTGTTTCAGCGGTTGGACAGTTTTCCAAAGATTTCTGCTAAAGATCACATCAAATTACGTGAACTTGGAGACTTGTTAATGGAAATCCAAGGTGCCAAAGAAGATGGTTATCTAACAGGTTTGTCATACCTCGACACCTCACGTGGAATTGCTCCTATTGTTGAGAAACTTCCATATGGGCTTCAGGACAAGTGGGTGACTTCTGGGTCATGGTACAAAGAAAACAATCATGGTCACTTCCCTCCCTTTGAGTTTTTCTGTAACTTTCTGTGTTCTGAGGCAAAGAAGCGAAACGACCCAAGCTTTATGTACCAAAGCAGTGCTACAACACCCATGAAACCAGACAGATCCATTGTGAAGAGTTTCCATTCTAACAAACTCATATCAGTGCACAAAACAGATTTGTGTGCAGTCAATGACGATCCAAACAAAATCTGTCCATTGCACAATAAACCGCACCCTCTGAAAAAATGCAGAACATTCAGAAACAAACTCCTTAATGAGAGAAAAGCCTTCCTTAAGGAAAAAGGAATTTGTTTCAAATGCTGTTCTTCAATCTTTCACCTCGCTAAAGAGTGCAAGTCTTCCGTGAAGTGCACTGAATGCGGCAGCATATATCATGATGCGGCCATGCACCCTGGTTCAACACTTCAAGCAGTCAAGGCTCCTTCACCATCACCAGAGGACGGCGGGGAGGGAGAAGATGATTTTAACACAGCTGTAGTTTGCACAAGCTGTACAGAAGTTTGCAGTCCAGGTCAGTGGAGCCGCTCATGTTCAAAAATCTGCCTTGTGAAGATATACCCCAAGGGTTCCAAGGACATGGCCATCAAAGCCTATGTAATTTTGGACGATCAGAGCAATCGTTCATTAGCCAGACCAGAGTTCTTCGAGCTGTTTGATGTGGAGAGCAAGCCATTCTCATATCATCTCAGGACTTGCTCTGGTACCCAAGAAACATCTGGCAAGAAAGCAGAAGGATTTCAGATTGAGTCACTGGATGGAAAAGTTCTCATCTCTCTTCCACCACTCATTGAGTGTCATGAGATTGTAAATAATCGGTCTGAAATTCCAACGCCGTGTGCAGTTCTACACCAGCCTCATCTCCGACACATTGCTAAGGATATCCCAGAGCTGGATCCAGGAGCAGAAATACTGCTGCTACTTGGAAGAGATGTCATCAGGGCACACAAGGTCAGGCAGCAGGTCAATGGACCAAATAACGCCCCCTTTGCCCAACGACTAGACCTGGGCTGGGTAGTAATAGGAGATGTGTGTCTGGGTAATGTACATAAGCCAATGGTCAACACATTCAAGACCAATGTGCTAGAAAATGGTCGCCATTCAATCTTTCTACCCTGCAAAAGCTTCATGCAAGTCAAGGAGATGCAGCCAAGCTGTAACATGTCTGCCAGGGTAACTGAAAAGACGTTGGCACAGACAGTGTTTAACAGAACTGAGCATGACTATAAACTTGCTCCATCAGTGGAAGACACGGCTTTCCTGAAAATAATGGACACAAACGTCTACAGAAACGAGGCAAACAGTTGGGTAGCTCCTCTGCCGTTTAGAGAACCACGACAGCCCTTGCCAAACAATAAAAAGCAAGCAGTGAACCGATTTACAATCCTGCAACGTACTCTTAAGAGGAAACCTGAGATGCAACAACAGTATGTGGAATTTATGAAAAAGATCTTTGCTAATGGACATGCTGAGCTAGCACCGCCACTGAGAGAAGATGAAGGATGTTGGTATCTTCCAACATTTGGGGTCTATCATCCACAAAAACCCAATCAGATCAGGGTGGTCTTTGATTCCAGTGCTCAATGCTCAGGTGTTTCTCTCAATAACGTGCTCCTTACAGGCCCAGACCTCAACAACTCCCTTGTAGGCGTTCTGCTACGCTTTCGTAAAGAGAAGATTGCAATCCTAGCGGACATTCAGCAGATGTTCTACTCTTTCTTAGTGTGTGAAGACCACCGCAACTTCCTTCGTTTTCTATGGCATAAGGACAATGATGTCAACAAGGAAATAGTTGAATATCGAATGAAGGTCCATGTCTTTGGCAATGGGCCATCGCCTGCTGTGGCAATTTACGGACTTCGAAGAGCTATCAGAGAAGGCGCAGAGAAGTATGGTGTGGATACTGTCAGGTTTGTGGAAAGACATTTCTATGTTGATGATGGCTTGATATCCTTACCATCTGAAGCTGAGGCAATTGATTTGCTCCAACGAACACAGGCCTCACTAGCTGAGTCAAACATCCGTTTACACAAGTTCGCTTCGAACGCTCAGATAGTCATGGAAGCTTTCCCACCCGAAGATTGTGTTCCAGTAATTAAGGACCTAGATCTGAGTGGAGAGACTTACCCCACACAACGGAGCTTAGGTCTGCTGTGGGAGATCATGAATGACACCTTCACTTACTCTGCATCGACCATTAACAAACCATTCACTCGTCGTGGAGTCCTCTCCACGGTCAACAGTATTTTCGATCCTTTGGGTTTACTGGCACCTGTCACAATCCAAGGAAGAGCCCTTCTCAGAGAACTTACCTCTGAATTGTCAGACTGGGACACAACTCTCCCAGAAGAGAAGCTAAGCAGATGGGAAGCCTGGAGAGATTCACTCCAAGATTTAAAACAGCTTCATGTTTGCCGTATGTATACAACAACCTCACTCACTGAAGCAGTGCACACAGAATTGTGTGTATTCTCGGATGCATCGACCATGGCTATAGGTGCTGTGGCGTATCTGAAAGCACTTCAGAAGGATGGAAAAGTTGAAGTAGGATTAGTTATGGGCAAGGCAAAACTAGCACCTCTGTCTGAACCTACCATCCCAAGGCTAGAGCTGTGCGCTGCTGTCTTAGCAGTAGAGATGGCAGATCTCATTAAAGATGAGCTGGATCTAAAGTTGGATGACATAAAGTTCTTCACCGATAGCAAAGTGGTGCTCGGCTACATTTATAACGAGTCAAAACGATTCTATGTGTATGTTCACAATAGAGTCCAACGTATCCATCAGTCCTCAAGACCTGAGCAGTGGCATTATGTACATACAGAAGAAAATCCTGCTGATCATGCATCAAGATCCTTACCTGCATCTGGCCTGGTGCAGACTTCCTGGTTTACCGGTCCTTCCTTCCTGTATCAGCCACATGCAGAGAAAATAAAAACAAGTGAGACATTTCAGCTAATTGAACCTGAAAAAGATTCAGAAATCCGACCGCAAGTACAAAGCTGTGCTACTAACCTGGAAGAGCCAGAGCTCACCTCTGACCGATTCCAACGATTCTCAACCTTTACATCTTTGGTAAGAGGAGTAGCATTTCTAGTTCACATGGCAAAATCTTGCAAACACACAAACCAAAACAGAAAATGCAAAGGTTGGCACAGATGTGACTTACCTCATACTCCGGATGAAATGGACCAAGCAAGGAATGTTATCCTTCAAGCAACACAAAAATCAGCGTTTTCAAAAGAACTGTCAGCCCTCCAAGCTAACCAGGCAGTATCCAAAAGTAGCCGCTTACGGAAGCTCAGTCCGATCATGGAGGACAATTTAATTTGTGTTGGTGGACGTCTAAAGCACTCTCAGGTTCCAGCTGTTGAAAAGAACCCAATAATTCTGCCCAAACATAGCCATATTTCGCTACTGCTCACTCGACATCATCATGAGCAAGTGAAACATCAAGGCCGTCATTTGACGGAAGGAGCGATCAGGGCAGCAGGACTGTGGATCTTGGGAGGCAAAGCTCTAATAAATTCAGTACTCCACAAATGCATAATCTGTCGCAAGCTACGTGGAAAGCTAGAAGAGCAACGCATGGCGGACTTACCATCTGAACGCCTCAAGACCTGCCCTCCCTTTACATATGTGGGACTTGATGTATTTGGACCCTGGTGCGTAACAACCAGACGAACCAGAGGAGGACAGGCGGAGAGCAAACGATGGGCGATCATGTTCTGCTGTATGAGTTTGAGAGCTGTACATGTTGAGGTTATTGAGTCTATGGACACGTCAAGCTGCATAAATGCTCTCAGGCGATTCTTCGCACTCAGAGGCCCTGCGAAACAGCTTCGTTCCGACTGCGGTAGTAATTTCATTGGGGCATGCAAGGAGCTTGGAATGGACAAAAAGGTGCAGAGGTACCTCAGTGAGCAAGGATGCAGCTGGGAATTCAATCCACCACACAGTTCTCACATGGGAGGCTCGTGGGAACGTATGATTGGTATTGCCAGGAGAATCTTAGATTCGATGTTTCTGCAGCTGAACACTCGCTTAACCCACGAAGTTCTTTGCACACTAATGGCAGAAGTTACTGCTATTATTAATGCACGACCACTCTTACCTGTGTCTGTAGACCCGGAACAACCTTTCATACTCTCACCATCAATGCTCCTTACGCAGAAGACAGGAGTTCCACCTCCTCCTGGAGACTTCTCGGACAAGGACCTGTACACAAAACAATGGAGACAAGTTCAGGCTCTTTCAAACCAGTTCTGGATCCGCTGGAGCCGTGAATACTTACCTTGCTTGCAACAGAGACAGAAGTGGACGGTACCTCGTAGAAACCTTCAAGTTGGAGATATAGTTCTGCTCAGGGATAAGCAGGTAGCCCGCAATTGCTGGCCCATGGCTAGAATCACTGCCATATTCCCTGGAAAGGATGGACATGTCAGAAAGGTTGAGGTAGTGACAAGTGATCAAAATAATATGAAAACCTTTCTAAGGCCAATTGCAGAAGTTGTTCTACTTCTAACCAAAGACTGATCTAAAGACTAAGGTTAGGCACTCTCATACTGTAAATCCATAGTGACCTCACATAGGTCAGGCGGGGAGTGTGTTGTCCTTTAAGGAATTTAGAGTCATGTGATGATGCCATTTCCTATTAAGTCACTTCCTGTTTGTCCTTCCTGGTACTGCATGGAAACAAGGAGACAGACATGGTGTGCTCTTGGTGTTGAATCCACTTGCATCCACCTTAAAGCATCATAGAGGCAATGCTGTAAGTTTGTTTATGTGATTTTAGATATTAAAGGTCATGTATTAGTAGATATTTTGTTAAAATGATGATGTTTGAGATTGTTAAAATTATGCTGTGTACAAGTTCTCAGAGATGTTGATGGCATGTGTAGCTGCTGCTGTTACAATGAGAATTGCATTGTATATTCATTTTATTCACAATGGGATGTTACTTAAGAAATGGACACTGAATATTGCTGTATTGTTTTTTATTACAGTTTTCACCTACATGTAAATGAGGAAGTGTGACAGTAAATGATCAACCTTACTACGACTCTGTCTTCATTTGCAACGGTTTAACTTGGTGTTTAGTCAGAGTTTCAAAACCCTGCACGAGAACATTACAACTGTCTCTGGCTGATCCATCAACGAACTTGAGTGCCTGGTTAGAAAAACATTGCTAATTTGGGTGTAAGTCCCATCGTAGCGTAGTTTGCTAACTGTCCGTTAATTATGCCATCTGCCACACTTGTTGGGATAAATAATTTTCACAGTAAATATTGCGCACCTGTTTTTACGAATTTTAAATAAACACATCTCAATCAAGATTTGTCACTTGTCTCTGTGGGATACAAAAGAAGGATTTTTACCTAATAATTTATTTTCCATTTAAATGTTTTAATTATAGTTAGATAAATAAACAAAAATATTTTTTATAAAGGTATCTATTTAATTTAAATTGTATTTGATCAAACTGAGTGGACCGATTACATTTTATTGCATGGATATATATATATATATATTTTTTTTTTTTTGGGGGGGGGCTACGCATATTTATTTCGATGGAAACCCAGCCCTCAATTAAATTGAGTTTGTCCAGTGAGATATTTTTTTTGAGTGTATAAAGAATGTGAAAGAACAAAGGGTCTGCCTGAAGCAACATTAGTCAAAAAGGCTAGAAAAAGATAAATCAAAGGGCACACACACGCACACACACACACAATTTCAATTAATCTCACACAATAATAACAATTTGTAAATGTTATAAGTGTTGCAAGAGTAGGCTACTCTTTATCTGGTATTTTGAGCACACCCTTTGACAACATGTATTTAAAAAGAAAAAAATAATGTTGAATACCTCTGAGAAATGTCGTTTCCTTAAATTTGCGCTTTCTTCTCAATTAAATTTCTATGTACTAGGTTTCTATGAACTATACAGGACTTTTATTTTGGTTTGGTAATGTGACGTCATAGGTCTGCGCCGCGCTACTGCGTCTAGGATTCGGCTTAAGAAAGGTATGTGATATTAAGAATTTAAAGTTTTTTAATCGATACAAACTATTCATGCATTTTTTTAGCTTTGTAAAATGCATTATGTTTTTTGTGAATATAACATGGCAAAACTTTATCTAATATGAATGAACGCTATTTGGATGAGTAAAGCACAGAAAAGCTGCGTTTACACAAGTCTTGATGCCCAGATCTGATGTCTATGATTTTTTTTTTGTTCCGCCAGTTTTTCACATTAGACTAGATTGTTATCCGATATCTGTGTTTACATTAATCCCTGCCCAAAATGATTCTGATGGTGATCGTTTTATGTTGACCCTTGGATGGTGAATATGGCCATACTCGCATTATTTTATAATTCACTTCGGGTGGTCACGATTATTTGCATGATCATTTTATTAGCGCGGTCTATTTCATTTATTTGAATCAGTGAATGAGAGAGATAAAAGAGAGAGAGATTATGAGAGTGAATTACCTGCCTGGGTCTGTAATCGTTTTGTTAGTTTATTTACTAAAACAGTGAAGTTGCCTCATTGCTGAGAAATAGCCTACAACAATGTGTGACCCTATTTCTTTTTAAAACTTCAAATGTTTTGTTACGTTTGTGCTTAAAAATGACTCTTACTATCCTTAATTGGCTTGTTAGTTTTCTTTTTAGCATTGTTTTAAATAGAAATTATGTTTATTCTGTTAGGGCTAGAATTGAACTTTTTTGCTTGTTAGCACTGGTTCTCGCAACTTTTAGAATTTCCCAAATCCCCCCAAAATTAGGACCACAACTAAAATGTTTACTGTGTTAGGGCTCGACATCAACCTTGGCACGTGTAAGTAAATCGGTCATTTATCGATATATCATTCGCTTGTCTTGAAAAAAATAATAATAAATGTGTTGTAGATATAACCCTTACAAAAATAACCTACAGGAATCCTGCAGGAATATTATGCAGGTTTCCTACAGGATTTTCAGCTCATTTTCCTGAAGGAATTAATACCTGCAGGAATTTTATGAAGGAAAACACACAGGAATTATATCCTGCAGGGTTTTAAAATATAATTTTCAAACTTGCTGTAGGACTGTTGTGCAGGATATACATGCAGTTATGCAGTGCTTTGCAAGTTGTCTTCTGCTGGAATCATGCAGGGGAAATAACTTCACAACAATGTATTATCACAATTTTTTTTTTTTTATTTCTTTTACTGTCAGAGCAGAGAGAAGCGGAGTCCAATTCACATGCATTTAGCCAAATGCTCTAGTTGAAGCCTCTAAACTGTTTTCCTGAGAAAAAAAGGGGGGGAGGGGGGGTTATAAAACGCTTGTGTGTGTGTGAGAGAGAGAGAGAGAGTGCGTGCGCGCGCATGTGTGTGTGTGTGTGTGTGTGTATGACAAATTATTGTCATATTATTACTTGTGCTCATCTTTTAACTTCTCTCTCAGTTCTGCCCTGATGAATTTTTTCGGAACATCCGGAAATTTTTTCTGTACTGTGTCTGTAAATGCAATTCTAGTTGTGAAAACATGATAATAATTTTGCATTTTAACTGCAACATCATGTTTGTGTAAAGAAAAAAAGAAGGACATTTTACTTACCCAGGATCATCACAACTTTGTCCTGGTCAAGAGCTGGCTTTGCTATAGTGTTTTTGTTGGCATTGCCAGCTCTTCCTGACAGCCCATGTGTGGCCAACACGTCTCTCCCGAACATGCCACCGCCAGATCTTTTACCATGGCAGAACATGATGTGCCACCCCGTCCACAACTTGTCAGGACATTTTCACTAATACCAAGCCCATGTGTCTGTCAAGAAAAAAAAGTTTTGGACACTACATCTAAAAGCATGTAACGTTATACACATACTGTGCAAAAGTATGAGGCTTGTTCGATTCTTCTACAAAAAAGTGCTATATTTTGCTTTAGTGTGCCAGCTGTTTCATAGACAAGGGATAATCATACCAAGTTTGTAACAAAAGTTAAATGATACATGAAGAAGTTAACATGCTTCTACAACTTCTGCACAACACTACATGAATATAGCCTATATAAACATACAAATATATTTGTATTCACCTTTTCAGGCAGATTCTTCTGGCTTGAACCATGTGGTTGTGGTTGTTGATACACAGTAAGAGGGTTCTGGGTTATACCCTTGAGCATTGGAAGAATTTCTTTTAAAAAGAAAAGAAAAGAAAAAAGATTACTAATAGACAACCACACTGACAGATAAATTGATATATTGACAGAAATACAGATATATGAAAAAATACCTTGTTGCAGAGATATATTGAGTGCTCTTAGATTTTAATTTCCTTTATTTAATTTGAGAATTTTTTTCTCAAGTTGAGTTTCTCGGTTTGACGACTCTCCAGCTTGACTGTCTTTGCTGTTTATTTCCTGCATTAAAATACTATTCTTTCTGTGGATGACCTAAAGATGGACACACAATATTAATATTTGTGATTTTAAAAAGCATAATGAAAAATCAAAGTATTTAAAAGATGTATTACTTGATGTTTGACCAGAGGCTCTCGATCAGATGATGAGTGAGGTGGGGACTGAGTTGGAGTGTAAGTTTTTTTTTTTCTTTGCCACTCTTTTTGCATCATTTTGCAAACATGGCTGACTTTTCCTTTTCCCCTCTAGCCGGAATATCCTCCTCCTGAGGGTTTCTTTGCTCTCTAAAGGGACAAAATACTCAAGTAGGAAATACATATCTTCTATATCATGACTGAGTCTTGTTTGCTGAACTTTTACCATCAATATCTATAACTGTGGCTGGGGAACTTTCCTCTTCACAAACCACATCCACAACATCTCCAGGTTCAAACTTTATTTTTAGTATGTCCTTTCTATGGACAATATCATAGGTGGGAGGCTCCTCTCTCCATTCCACCAGAACCCATGTTTTGTTCATTTTCTAAATAATTAAAATAGTTACATACATACATATTTACTTGCATATTTAACATACATGCATACATTTATACATTAATAAAATATATATTAATCCAAGGGTGTACAAAAGTCTAAAGTCTCATCATTCACATTCATCGTGCCTTCAGCTCATTGTCCCCATGGCAACAATGTACCTTTAACGGCAAGCCAGTGACTCTCACTGTCCCGTCCGGTGCAGATTATTTACTTCTTTTCTAAGGTAACCAAAAGGTACAATATCAATTATTAGCGATTAAATACAAAACAAAGTAATGTGAAAGTAAAAGTAATTATGAAAACAACAAGTAATGATATCAGCAAAGACAGAGAATCAGGGATAACAGCAACAAGCATTTTAAAAGAAAGAGGGATAGACTCAGTTGAACTAATCAAATGCACAGACATGCATTCAACCTGTGTCTATCTCAAGGACCTGCCAGATCTTGCAAATATTTTTTTTTGCATCCAACCAAACAGATGGGAGTTGAATTGCTGGTTTTGATCTTAATTTTATAAAATGTAAAAGTGTACAGTACACAGATTTATATCTCTTGAATCCTGAAATATCTATGATGTTTGCATAAATGCATAATTTTGAAATGATTTAGAATAATGGTTAATTATAATTTTTTTGCCTATTCTTACTCTTAATTGTATTCATTTATTTTTTAAGACTCATTGTTTCTATTGCTGCCAACAGAGCAATATATCAAAAATAGTTCAATGAAATGTACTTGAATCTAATTAAACAAAAAATGTATGAATAAAACTACAGAAACTATCAAAGTTTTTTCTCTAGTCTAGACATTATATAGCTTATCCTGAATCCAAAACCTGTAAAAAAAAACTCCTATAAGAAAACATTTAGTTTCTGCAGGAATGATAAAATCCTAACTGATAAATACATGAACGCTGAGTCTCGGCGACTCAGCATCCGCGGGCTGATCTGAGATACAGAAAAGGCCCTGAGCTCTCGTTGCAATGTGGGTAAGGAGTGTGTGTGAGAGATGTTCAAATGTTAATTTGCAAGAAGCAAGGTCCTTCGTCTCAGACCTCAGGGCTCCAGACTGCGACCAAATGGTTGCATTTTGCAACCAAAATGTGAGAGTGTGCGAATGAATTTTGCATCCATCATCCAGTAGTGCGACCAGTAAATTTGTCCTTTTTAAAAAAAAAAATTT